CACATATGCATCCTCTTTTCCACGGGTGATAGCCCATAGTGTTTTGTTGTTTGGGAAGTATCACTTTCCTATAATCACCGAGTCTTTGTACACAAAGGATGCCCTGAGGCAGGTCTCCCTATCATCACCATTCCAGCACACCAGAGTACCTGAGTGCCACTGCTTAACTGCACTGTGAAAGAGATCATCCCTTCCACTAGAGGCAGATCCCATCTCACTGCACCAAAGAGAGGACAGAAACTCAAATCTTCTAAAGATATGAGCCCTAGAACAGATTCACACTAAGAAACATGTAATTCAGATTCTGCTTCTCACAGTAATTTAAATCTACGGTTTTGATCAGTCCATGTGCAAGGCATTTTATGCTGAGACCAATACAGATACTACTACAGAACCAGCACGTTCTGCTAGCTAAATACAGAAGAACAAACACATTAGATTCCTCTTTTGTTTGACTCTCAAGTTTCCATTCCATGGGAGTAAACCTACATTAAGTACTGACTACCTGTGACTGCAGATGTTAAAACAGCTCAAGAAAACCGCAGACAAAACTGTCAGGCTGACACTACAGCTTTAGAGAGGGTTTTCAGATATCAATGAAGAAAACACCACTCCATTGCATACAGAAAGCAATGGGAAAAACTAGAAAATAATGTGCTTCCTCCTGCTAACTTCACTATCTCTTTCAGGTACTTTTCATAACTGGACAAAACAGGCTAGCCTCACGTCTAGAAGACAAAAGGCCAAAGCACCAAAGAAACTCACCTCCCCAGAGTGTCCACTGCATTCCAAATTTTGCCTCAAACTGCTGGGTGAAGAAGAAGTTGAGGACACTCCCAAGACGGGAGAAAGACAGAGTCAGTCCAAATGCCAGTGCCAGTTCCTTCCCCTTGAACCAGAAGGCTGTGATACGATTCTGCACAACTTGGAGAAGACAAAAATCATCTCTTGAACAGACTTGGCCAAGAGCATTGCACAGAACCAACAAACACAGCCTCTCAAGCTAGAGCGCTTAAGCTAGAGTAAAAGAAAGACCTCTACGCATCCCAAATGGAGGTACTATGTGTCAACTTCGCAGTCCATTTTAAAACATACTAAATCATGCTGGGACATGCGAGGTGAACTTAGCCCTCAAACAAGGCAAGAAAAACAACCCCAAAGGCAGAGTAATCACACATCAGTCCCCGCCCTTGGGAGAAGGACAAACTTGTTAGAGGGGAAGACTTTTAAACATTTTGGCCCACATTAAATCCATGCAACCCTTCAAGGAGCAGTGTTCTTCTGTTAGCAACATAGGTTCCTGGTGCAGAGCAGGTGAAGCTGACTGGTAGGACAAGGGTCTAGGAGGCAAAATAAAAATGTATCATGACCCTCTGGTGAGGCGTAATAAAGAATGTGAATTCCTTACTAGTAAGTGACCCATTCCCAGAGCCAAAGAGCAGTCTTCCTGTTAGCATCATTGGTAGGAGGTATGGTGACCCCTTGAAATGTGAGCCTAGAGCAAAGATTGATGATCCCAGCACAGTCAGAAGAGAGAAAACAAAGACACCAACTAGGAAGAAAGAGAAAAAAAAATACACAAACCTCAACAGACATGCTGAGCTCAGGACAAAAGCATTCTTTGTCAAAAAGCAAAAGAGCAACCTCAAAACACACCAGTAAACCTGTGGGCTTCTATCAGTTTACCCTCGTTATTGTAATTTTGTAAAGACTGGTCTCTTTATAAAATGACCTGGGAATCCTCAAAATAATGATGATATGATGGTGGAAGGTTAGAGAGGCAGAACAAGTCACAGAGAGGACTCTGAACTCTCTATATAGAGTCCCTGTTCCTGTCCCAAGCTCCACTACAGACTATGGCCTAGAGCAAGCGATTTCTTTCTCTGTGCCTCCTCATCTGTAAGATGTTTACCTCTGTGATACAGAGACAGAGCATAGCTGCATTTGCTGGGACTGCTAGGTCTCAGATTATGGCACATGCCAGAAAAAATGTCAGAGCAGGGAACAGAACACTACTTTATCAGTTTGTCCCATTGAAAACAGGTAACACTATTCCCTGTTACATGCATGTCAGAGGAAAGCACATTTACTGCACTGCTGTGTAAATTCGGATAAGTCAGTGGTCAAAGGATGGAAACGTCTCAGTTGCTTTCATGGAGCTGCTCAACTAACCATCGCACACTCCACACACAGAGCTGTCCCTCCTCTCCCATCCCTCTGTGATCTTACTGAAGTGGAACCTTTGATCATCCCTTTGCACTGAAAGAACAGCCTGAAATTCCATTTCAGTCCAAGAACAAATTAATCGATCGTCAGAACTTACAGCGATTTCCTAGTTTATCAATCAGGAATCCAGCCAGAATAACCACTACTGCATTTCTAGGAGAAAACAAGAACAGAAACATTTGTGTCTTGCTGCTGGGAAGCAACTAGCAAACTACCCTGCCCCACCAAAGCAAGAGAAAAGTGACTTACGTCCAAGCATAGATCGCATACAGCAAATTGTATTGTGCAGGTGTCATTCCCAAGCCTTCAACACAGTCCAGCGTGCTATTCTCCCCAGTGCTGCTATTATGGGTTCCATTGGGGCAGGTCAAGTTCTGCATAACAAGTCACAGAGCCTGTGTTAGGCAGCAGACATGGATGAAAACCCACACATTCCTTTAAAAATTAAGTTAAGCTCTTGCCTACTAGTTTTCTATTTCTTCTGCTCAGTTCTCACTTCCATGACCAGGAATTAGAGGACTTGTGTCTTCTCTCAGCAAGCCAGCCCTTGCCAAATGAGAAATGACTGGCCACTGGCACGTTTTGTCTTCCCTTTCCCTTTCTGTGGCAGTAGCGGCAGGGGCTTAGCACTTTTATACACATTTCAGTCCAAAAGAAAAGCCAGGAGACTGCACCGTGAGGTTTATTTGATCCCTTAATTTCTTGGCTATAGTTTAGCTTGATCCGACTCTTCATTACATACTATAAAGTCTTAAGCAGTGTGTAAGTAGGAAACTTAGCAGTAGTCCATATTAACTCACAGCTATAAAGCATTTGCTGAACAGTAGGAAACCAGTAGTCCTAGCATGATTTAATAATGTCATTTTTGCTACTGAAAAGCAACATCTTCTCAACAGGATCAGGAAAAAACCTCTCGATCTTCCAACTACTAAAAATCTACCTGCATTGGGAAACACACTAGGTCTTCCACACCAGTAGGCACAAGCTTAACGTCTTGAATAACCACAAGGAAAGCGTCATTTTAACCACATGATTTTTATATAGCCAGCATATTTACAAATCCCTCAGATCGGCTGTAGTAAAAAGGTATGAGGCTGCGGTGAAACAGTTCTCTAGAACAAAGTGTGTTCACTGCAAGCACGGGTCTTAGATGCTCTGACTACCACTGTACCACTTGTGTAAGGCAGGTAGAGGCTAAATTCACCAGAGCAGAAATATTATGAGAGTGTCAGCAGATAAAACCACTGTTTGCACAGTACCTAGTACAGAAAAATATGGCTTGGTTTCATTACCCTATAAAGTTATCTAGGTAACAAAATATGACAACCTTTCCTTTACTCAGTAAATAAATAGATGACTCTTTTCCCACAGACCTACAGAAGTTGTGGAGGATGAAGGAATAAATATGGACCTATTTTTTTTGTTTTTACTCCTGTTTTCAATGACAGACTGCACCCAATTTAGCCTGGAGTTCACTGTCTGAATGTTATGGATTAACTGCATTTCAAAAAAAACCCAACAACCTTACATGCAAGCTATATATATTTCTGCCCTTGGTTTTGAAGCTATTGAAGCAAAGAACAGGACAGCGACTTTCAGCCTACACATACTAATCTACCAGCAGATGGCACACACGAGTAAAATCAAGTCTCAAAAGAGAGGAAACAAATACAATAATGACAGATAAATGAGTCAAGTAAGAATTTGTCAGGTATTCAGGTAAGAACTCTGGGACTCCTGCATCCCTGGAGAAATCCCAGATATCAACTGGGATATCTGTCTAAACCCTGAACAACACAATTTGCTAGCATTTGAGAATACAACTAGTTTTTAAACAAGAGTCCTCCTGTGGTCTCCTGGCAGGGCTCTGTCTTTCGGCTAGCAAAGACAGATGTGATGTGATACCTGCAGTATCAGGAGGTTTGGATCTGAAGACCAGAAAGTCTTTTCTAGTCTCCTATCTCTGATGTCGCTAGTCTTCCAGTCCAGTGTAGGTACTAACGCTCAATTCTATGGATCTTCTACGTGCAGAGTGGCGTGAACACCATTCTAACTCTGGACTTCATTAGTGTAGCGAACAGTCGTTTGGAGTGCTGACAACCATCGAGCAAGGTCAGGTTTTAGTTTTCCAGTTCTCCAGGCAGTGGTGAGAACCCAAACCCCTCACGGCTCGTCCCAGCTTCGTGCATCTTCTTCGCAGCAAACATACCAGTGACAACCCCTCACCCCCGGCACCTGGAACATAAGACCCCAGCGCACGACGCCGGTAAAGAGCTCCCGAACCTCCACCGGCGGCCGAGGCCTCCGTGCTGCTGGTTCTGCCTTGTTTTGCCCGCCCGGCACTTACCCCCTGGAACTGCTCCTGCAGGACGCTGGGGATGTCGAAGCAGAAGTAGGAGCCGAAGGTGAGGAGGCAGTTGAAGAGGAGCACCGCGAACCTGTAGGAAGCTGCCGGGGCACAGAGGACCCTCTCACACCCTCCACCTCACGGCCCGGCGCGGCCCTCCCCTCCCGCAGGCCCCGGCCCA